AGCACATACATAGTGGTGTTTTCCTTCTGCGTCCCAGCTCCTGGAATCGGCGCACGACGAAAAGCATGTCGATGGCGATTCGCCCTGGTTGGATCCCGCACTGTTCCTCCGGGAGGTTCTGTTGGTTTCGCAGAAGTCGCTTGGGCGGTTGGTGATGATCTTGACGGGACTTTGCCTACGTGAAATAGAAGCAAGATCCACCTGAAGTTGTTGCAGATGGACCAGTCACCCTTCTTGCACAACACGTTGATGGTTGGGTCCTTCCACTCTCGGGAGGTCTCTCCTCCGTTCCACGCCTCAACGAGGATGGCATGGAGGTGCTCCAGAACGATGGGTTCCTCTTCTTCGTCAATCTTAAGCAGCACGGCAGGGAGGGAGTCATTGCCGGGTGCCATTGAGTTAACTGTTCTGTAGTCTTCTTGTTATCCGTTCCATCTCTCGAGGTCTGGCACCGCTCCATCCGTCGGGTGGAACGTGTCGCCGGTCGCTGCGTCGCTTGTTCGAAAATGTCTGGGTTCAGGGTGGGGGGTTTGGTGTTGGGGAGGGTGCCGAAGAATCTCGCCCACCGCTGAAGGATGTTGTTCTTTCTCCGGAGCAGCACGCCACTCTCGTCCGCAACGGACTGCTGTCCTCCCGCTTTTCTCCCACTGAGCCCCACTGATCTCTTGAGGTGTTGGTAGAGACCTCTCATATTGCGGTCCTTGGAGATCGCTTCGAGTGCCGTCACATATCTGTCCAGGTGGGCATATATGCCCGTTTCAACTGCTGCGGCCCCTCCCTTACGCGCTGCTTTGAGGGCCGTCCACGATGTTGCGTTCAACTTACCCTTTATCGCTCGGCGTGCTTCCTCCTGCATGGTAAGGGCCTCCCCTAACCCTGCCCTTGTCAGGGGCTCACACCATTCCTGCGTGTGTCGTCTCCGCGGTTCCTCGGGTAGCATCGCCCTCGCCGCTTCGAGGAGAGCATTGCTGAACTCGGTCGCCTTCTTGGGGGTGGTGGTCGCTCGTTCGCCCTGCCGTTGGTCGAGGTTGAGGAGGAAAGCGGGCAGCCACCGCCCATCGCGTTGCTCCGACCTGCAGTTGTCGTCGGTTGAACTGTTTCTGTTTCGATTTGGTCCGGACTGTTCGGTTGTGGGCAAGCCTGCCACCGAGGGTGACGTTGGCTATCACCATGTTGTTGTGACCGGCTGGGGAATGACAACCACGTTAGACACCGTTGCATGTGTGCCATATTCCGCCCTTGCGTGTCTCGAAGAACGTGTTCGCGCGTGCTAGCTTGTTGTCCGCTGCGAAGGTTAGCAGTAGTAGGCCATTCTCGTTCAGCTCATCGCACCCGTGTATCTTCATGACTCCCTCGTCCTCCCCATCCATCCTCTGTCCCGTCCGATTTTGGCATCCGTCAGGATATACACACACTCTTTGGAGGGAACCCTCGCACGAGACTGTCGAGTTTTCCCCACAACTCTGTCTTGCTGTCGTTGGTGGCAACCTCGGTTGGTGCGTACGCAGCAACGAAGTTGATAAGCATCATGTTATGATGAGCCGCGGAGCGCAAAGCTGCCCATGGACGGTATAGCAAAACTTCCTGTAGAAAGTCTGGGGGACCCAGTGTTCACGAACGTCCACGAAATTCATGAAATGTTTCACCACGATTTAATGGACGTCCTGAAACATTGCATGATTTTCATGGACGTTCAGAAACATTTCATGAATGTTATGGGCGTTCATGAAATGTTTCAAGAATGTCTATGGGTGTTTATGAAACGTTTCATGGGCGTTCGTGTAAAATTGTCATGGACCATCCATGAGAAGTTTCATGAAACATTCCATGAACGTTCGTTCACGGCCGTTCATGAATGCATGTCATGAATGCCCATGATTGTGTTTTTTACATGAAATGTTTCGGGACCAATTAATAGTGAAATATATTCATGGAATGTGTCGCGACAAAAATGTCATGCGCACCCACGGAGCATTTCAAGAGCGTGTGTGAAAAACATTATGGAATTACATGGAATTCCTTCGGGTTTACAGTTCATTCTATGGAAGTCTATGGACGTGTTTACGGAACTTTCAAGGAATTCCATGGAAGTTCCATGAATTTCCATGAAATGTTTCATGGACTGCCATGAAACCGTTCCATGGACTTCCCTGGGATTCCATCGACTTCCATGAAACGTGTCATGGAAAGGTACGAAAATGTGCATGCCCCCGCGGAGGACGACTGTTCTTTTCCGTCCGTCCCTGGAGGGAAAAACAGGCTAATAATATATCGGCCAAGTTACGCCACGTGTTGCAGGGGCTCAAAACTTGATCTCCAACACAGAACATTGTCGTTGTTGGTGTTGGTGTTGGTGTTGGTGTTGGTGGTGGTGGTGGTGGTGGTGTTGGTGTTGGTGCTGGTGTTGGTGTTGGTGCTGGTGGTTGTGGGTTTTTGTGTCATGGTGCGTTGACATTTTGAAGCCGTTGATCTATCTACCCAGTATGTCCGCGCTGATTCAGCATTTGATGCTGTCGCTAACCGTGATCATGGGCTACCTTTACCGGTGCACGAACCTTGTCGACCTTTTGCGTGCACACCGAGCCCCGTTACATGTCGATGTGTGATAACATGTTCAATTACACCCAACCCGCAATTAAGCTGCCATCAACGACAGAAACGCGGTGTAGCGACCACCAGCATAACTTTTGGACAATAACCGGACGACAACATAACGAGGCAGCATAGCTGCGTGAACAGCTACACGAGACGGGGGAGCCAATCACGGGCACGTACTTGGAGGACATCGTTCGCCAAGGGTTAGAGCATCGTCCTCCAAGGGTTAGAGACGGAATACAGATATGTCAAACTAACTGATGACCGGGAAGGATTCGGACCTTGATCTGCCGAAGATCCAGTCCGTTCTCCGCCATCGTCTCTCTCGCAACAAGATGGGCAAAACCGCCGGGCGTGAAGTGGCGATGTCGGTGGCGTTGAAGTCGGGGTGAGCAGGTGTGATTTGAGACAATCACGGCCTACCTGGGCGCTACGGTTGAGGATGTGCTATGCCGAGGACTAACAACGGGAAGAGCGAGGCTGGAGGGACGTCCGGGTCACGAGGAGGTTCGGGAAAATAGATGGTGCAGCATGCACAAGACCACTCTCATGACGGCGAACACTGCTTCAGGTAGGGAGTGGTGAAGCCGAAGAAAGCAAGGCGCTCGATGCTGTTGCAAGCCGTCCTCCCGCTGACGCGGAGTGTGAGAAACCGTTCCTGGACCTCACTGCCAGTTGCAACGAGTTCGACGGAGGCTTCATGTTTTTAGTGGGGAGCCATGTAGAAGTGCAACTATCTCGACACCAAGAAGCTTGGAGCCAGGGGGTCGCCTGGCCGGGATTGCCGCAGACACAGCGTTTATTTCTAAAATCACCGCGAAGCGCCATAACACCGCTGTGGGTTGCTGGGAAAATAATGTCTCCTGTGGGACTACTCCAGCGCTGAGCGTGGGACGCCGGAACTTCGGGTTGCTTCGACAGGAAGCCGGAATTGGTGGTCGGGGAGATTCTCCGAGTTTGGGTCGCAACAGAAAACAAACCCTGGGGGTAGCTGGAAAGAGAGACTCCGGGACGCCTGTGGCTCTGTCCAATCGCCGGGACTAAAAAAAGGAAGACGGAATCAACCGTCGGGAGATGTTTCCGGGTTCTACTCGCGAACGAAAAACCGCTGGGGGTCGCTGGAAAGACGTATCCGGTATGCCTACGGCGCTGTCCAATATACGCCGTCAAATCGCCAGGTCGCTTCGACAGGAAGAGAGCATCAAAACCAACCATCGGAGGAAATGTCTCCGGGTATGGACCTTACGAAACGATAAACCGCTGGGGGTATCTGGATATGTCAGGTCGTCGGGCGTAATCCTGGGTGCGGGGGCAGGAAACGATGACGGCGGCGGCGGCATGGGATCCCAGGTAGGCGATGCCGCTTCCTAGGTTCGGGCGAGGGCATTTGTGGAGCCGTGATGTGTGCTCTGTGACAGAGTATTTAGAGAGTCATCTTGATATTCGAATTGAACGCAATGCGCTTTTTTCGAATTTTGGTCCCCTTGCAGGGACCTTGATCTTACCCGCTGGCACTGACGTCTTTTCATTGGTCAGCCGGTTAGCGCGGTTGAGGCAAAAAATAACGACACACATCCCTAGCGAGAGGTACATGAGTGTACTGCTGTACCCCTACAGGTTGCGACGCAGAGGCTCAAAATTCCGTGTGCTGCGGGTGATGGACTGATTATTGCTTGTTTGTTGGATTCGGCCTGCTTCCCGCCTGACCGACTGTAAATAGAAGGTTGTGATTCATTTATTTTCAGGGTCGAGAAGTGTTGCCTGGGCACGTACGGAAACGTGTTGCACGTGCTAAGGTAACTTTGTGCCTTCAGGGGAGGGCTTGCTACTCTTCCTGGCGTTATCCGGGTACACGTTTGGGTAGGCTGCATGGAGGTCGAACATTCATGTGGTAGAGAGGAAGGCCGAACGGCGCCCGCTACGGCACTAGCCGCGCTCTTGACTTATCGTGTCGATTTGAGATTAGGTCTAATTCCGCCGCTTCGCCGTGAGCGGCCGCTACGAGGCCGCAGGGCGCAGTTGCGCCTGACTGAGCTGAAAACCCCTACCTCTATTCATACAAGCAATATCGTCCTTCCCTAACGTCGGAACAAGCCATGCAAATGCACTCTGACAACAACCAGCTTTCACGAGGGAAAAGACGCTTGATACGAAGAACCTCTGGGCCCTCTACTCAAAAATAGGCAACGGCTGCTTACAGTGTCAACTTGATATGTAGCATACGTAATGTCAGACTTAGCCACCAGCAGGCATAGTATCTTGGTGAGCGCAGATGGTTCTGCTTTCGTAGTCGATGTGGGGGGAAGAGCGGACCCCCCCTACCTCTGGAACCGTGACGTCCGGCACCAAAGCCGACGCTCTCTTCTTGTAATCCACGAGTCTGGCCGTAGTATGTCATCGCCTCATCACTCGTGGTGAAGGAGGGCAAAGTCCCCGCCCAGGGCACCCGACACACGGTAGTCCTCGGCAGTTCCGCGGAACGCGTCATCCCCCTTCGTCACGGCTCTTCCATCCTTGTCATTATTTGGGCGGGCAGTCTCTCCAAGAATTCCGGCCACACTTTCGTTCTCGAGGGATAGGCCGACGAGGCCGACGTCCATCTGCCACACATCAAGGTCAGGGAGGACACGGCCGTCCCAGTCGAGACATCACCAGTCTGGCGCCCGATCCCGACGTTGAGCCGCACGACGACCGCCGGTGTGTGATCTGGTATATGGCGTGGGGGCACTGAACATCCCACAGGCCCTTCTCGACGACATGTTCGGTGCAGCTGGTATGATATATGAGTTTGAAACGTGCGGTAAAACCACGGTGCATGACGTCGAGCGATTCAACCAATGGCGCAAGAATATCGAATTCAATTTAAATACGCCACCAACAACAGTACGGATATACAGAAGTTGTTATAGATCACCGCGACGACCCTCTCAGAAAGTCTCTGGCAACCAAACCATTGCCATGAACAATCCCTTCTTGCGGGATGAGAGAGGGTGTTCGTCGGCCAGGACGGTAAGTCGATGACCATCTCGATTCACATAATAGATGAACGTGAACTTCGCGCCACCAGCCTTCTACGTACTGTAGTCGAAGAGTGCTGAAGAATCTAGTTCAGCTTCTCAGATCAATATCCGTGGGTGGAACTTTCATTCGGCTTCCCCACCCCTTGCCCAACCCGGTCCCAAATGCGTGCCTCGAGCTACAGAGCTACGGAGCAAACGTCGCGATGTCGCCAGGTGGTTCGGTGGGGAATTAAAAATCATGACGCCTCCCCGAGTTTGAGGAGGCTCTGCCTCCTGTGGCGGACGAGAGGCCTTGTCGGTTTCGCCATCCACATGGGGCGGTTGCACCATAGCGGGCCACTTACTATCTTGCGACACGACCCAAATCGATGTTCTCTCGCACACAACAAGTAGACAGCGCACTGTCCTTCGCCACGTGGGTTACTAGAGAGCAGATTTGAAGTGCTTCGCGGACTTAATCGGCGGGGCGATTAAAAGGCCAGGAGAAGTGTAACCGGTAGAGGACGCGTTAGAAATATTTTGAAGGTTTTGAACGCCCCTTTTATACATTAAGTTGGGGTGTCGGCGCGTGTGCTTCGATGTCACGCCCTCGAGCTCTTATCAAAAACGTTTCTGCTCGGAACGACTCAAACTCTTTTCAGCGGCGAAGGCGACGACCCTCGGCGGCAGGGTTTCCCTCCGACGGCGGCGGCGGCGGCGGGGGAGACGGTCGGGGAGCAGGCACTCCACGGGAGCGGCAGCATCGGGAGCAGGACCGGCGGCGAGAGGGGCGACCATCGGCAGTCATGGTTTCCCCGCGGCGGCGCCTAGAGGACGGTCGGGACGCAGGCACTCGCGGACGGAGCGGCATCATCGTTGATGGGGGTGGCGACGACAGGTGCGGTTCCCGTGAGGGCGGCGACGGAGGGTGGACTGGGAAACCGCACGTCATGAGCCAACCCGGCATCACGTTTCGGGTAATGACGCATGCAGGCCGTTCGATACGGAGAAATCCCCTCCCCCCAAGCGCTTCGTTATGTGAGAGCCTGGTCTGGTGAGAAACCGGCGTGCTCCGTCTCGGCTTTGTAGGGATGCGAGGTCAACAGTCTAACGACTTTGCGGCATACACCAATACGAGTACACCCCCCCACACACGCCATTGAGTATGCGCTACTTCTGTTGGCGAGGAAATCCTACCGACGAGAATGCTTGCTGATTTACGCATCTGGTAAGCACGAACACAGCCAAGTATTCCTTTATGAGACCCCCATAACCCGCTCTGCTCATTTGCATGCGAGCGGGAAACTGGGGTCTAGCTTTACCCTCCCGAAAAAAGAGCCGGAACGGGGAGGCGGGGGAGGCAGAGGGCGCATCATCTGCGTTATTCCCCGTCGGGACATAGAAGCGTGTTCTTGTGGTTAAAGGTTGTTGTAGAAATGTGTCGTGTCGAGGTGCCCTGTACCCAGGGTCGTGTCTGCAGGCGGTTAAGCCTTCGTGCAGTCTGCAGGCTATGAAGCCTTTGTGCAGTTCCAGACAGTTGTCTGTGCAATATGCAGACCGCAGTCTGTTGAGGCAATGACCGTAGTCGATGTTGTTGCTAAGTGCCGCTTCTGGGACTTGTACTTTCTTCTTCTTTAGCAAGCTTGCAGAGTTGAGATGTTGAGGGATAGTTGGGAGTGAGCCCGATGGGGCTCGCAACACCTCGTGATCTCGCTACAATACAATCCTCTGCTCAACCATCAATTCATTCCATGAGCTCCTCGCTAGAACTCGTCGCTACATGTTACGTTCTACCAAACGTCACTCATTATACCGCATCTACGTACCATTGCGTGCAGCAATCATACAGCTGCATCTATGCTACTACACACATCCTACAGCAGTAATGCGCTGTATTTCAACACGCCCCCATGATGGACGCAATGTCACGTATGCTTCAACAAACTCATCGTTGTTCTAAATCTACTGCACAAATCCTGCAAGTAAGTTTCAGGTACATACTCCTAATGTACTCTTGCATTATACACGCCCCCATAAATTGTATTACAGCGCACGCGTTACTTATGCTTCAACAACTGCCTGTTCAGTCGCTATCCTGCTCAAAAATAATTGTCCATAAGTTACTAAATTACTCCAAAATCCTTCATTCTCGACATGACTCTTTTAGTCATACTTTCCTTAAAAGAACTGCTGTTCTTCAACACTCGAATCACCGAATGTTGTAAGATCCCTAACTTATCCTCCACGATATTTTCACAACTTTCCACAACTGTTTCTTTTGCTTTCTTTTCTATATTTTCCACGCAATCGTCTATACCCTTCCGTCCAATTTCCATCACTTCATTTATCACCCAATCCATATCTTTTTTTAGGTCCGCTTTTACTTCCTTCATAAATTCCTGCTTATAAAAGTCTGGCCCTTCGAGTCTTGCTCGACTTATCATCCCTTCGTGGATGTGTCTGCTAGTTGCGTAACTCGGTATGGGTTGTTTTGTCATGACCATCCGTTGCGTCCACAACTTATGAAGTGTATTAAACCTGGGCGTACAAAACATCACCGTCTTAATACTCCTAGTGGGTATATACGATATCAGCCCTGTAAGGTTAGTCTCTTCCGAGATCCTCAACTTGCATACCAATTCCTGAGCTTCTAACACTTCATCTTCTTCTAAAGTGTTCACGAACTCCGCTCCTAGGTACTCGTTTAATTCTACCAAAGTGACATGGTCAATATCAACAAACATCGACCTATCTGGTTCTCCATTGGTGTTGTTGTCTTCGTCTTGGTTGGTGTCGTACTGGTGACGCTGCCTGATGTGGATATCTTCGTCACTTGAGATAAATCCAGACCCATTCTCCGAAGATGCCATTGTTGTAAGTGTATGCTTGTTTGTAGTTGGTTGTCCAGGTTGCCTAAGCCTTGTCCTTCTTGGTAGTGATCGGTGTAGTGATCGATGTATAGCCGTCGCACCGTCCTTCTCGTGTTGTCCATATCCGTCTGAAACGGTCGTCTCTGTAGTTCCTCCGCATTTGATCTCCTATATCGGAGATCCTCCATGTTCTTGAACCAATGTCCGCAGTTTGACGAATTGGACACGTTCCAGATGCTTGGTCAATATGTCCGCAAGCTGCTCCTCACTCCTCACGAACTTCAGTACAATATTTCCCTTGTTGACATTCTGTCGAAGTAGCCAGTATCTCGTGCTGATGAACTTGCTGCGGCCTCGAAACATGGAGTTTCCTGCTGTGCTCATAGCTCCCGTAGAATCCGAATGAATCGGAATATTTCCACATGGAAATCCAAGCTCCGACAGTACACCTTGCAGATAGATGGCTTCCCTAGCTGCTGTAGCCATTGCAATGATCTCCGCATGTACGCTTGACTGAGCTGTTAGCTTCTGCAAAGTTGATGCTGCACTGACGACGCCTCCCGCCAGTATGAAGATGTATCCAGTAGAAGAACGCTTCTGAAGTCTCTCGCTCGATCCAGCGAAGCTCGCGTCACAGTAGCACTTCAGGTCCCATTGTCCTCTCCTGAACTTCAGTGGCATATCCGGGCATCCTCGAAGGTATCTCAGCACTCTCTTTGCTCCGACCATATGTTGATTAGTAGGCTTGTTCATCCCTCTGCACAGGACCATCACGGCATATCCAATCTCCCATCTCGTTGTGTTAGTCAGGAAGAGTAGACTTCCGACAATTCCTTGGTAGAGTTTCTTGTCCTCTTCGCTTAAATATATAGCGTTCTCCGGCTCTTGTTCGATCTCCGGTCCGCTCCCTGGAGTTGCTGCTGGTTTGCAATCCACCATCTGGTACTTGTCCAGAATATTCATCACGTATTTGTGTTGGCTCACAATGATTTCTCCGTCGCTCTGAGAAATCTCCATTCCTAATAGTAGTTCCGCTGGTCCGCCGTCCGTCATCTTGAATTTGTCCGATAGTTGTTTCTTCAAATCTTGAACCACGCTCGGTGTCTTTCCAGCTAGTGTGCAGTCGTCCACGTACACACATAGTATCGCGTATGTCGGTCCAGCACCGTACACATATACGCACGGGTCGCTCAGCAGAGCAGTAAACCCGATTTCTTTTATTCCTTTGGCAAATGCGTTGCCGAAGTTCCGAGGGCTTTGCTTCAATCCGTATAAGCTTTTCTTGAGCTTCATCACCAGCGGTAGTCCCGTAACTTCATCCGTTATTTCGTATCCTTTGGCTTGACGAACGTACACTTCTTCTTCCACGTTGCTTTGAAGAAATGCAGTTACCACGTCCATGGTTTCCACAACGTATCCTCTCTCCGCTGCAATCGCCATTAAAACCAGCTGTGAACTAAATCGACTCACAGGTGCATAAGTTCCTCCACAGTCGATGCCATGTCGTTGTCCCCAGCCTTGTACGATGAGTCTTGCCTTCATTACTCCAGTTGCTTTCATTTTGTACAACCATCTTGATCCAATAGGCTTAGCTCCCGGGGGTAGACTCTGAATTGGGACTAGATCCGCCACATCATGATCTTTCAGGCTCTTCATCTCCTTGTCCATAGCTGCTTTCCATTGATCGGCGTCCATAGACCTCATGGCTTCTTGATAAGTAGTTGGTACAGGTATAGATGCTGGCGGCCGGACAGGTTCTCCAGCTGATGGAGTCTTGATTCTTATATCTTGATCTTGGTCTTGGTATTGGTTGACAAAAGTCGCTAGTTTGTTCCATGGTGATAGCCTCCGTAGCTCCGCTTGCTGCCGTTTGTTGTTTGTTGTTTGTTGATTCTCCGTATTCCTTCCGCTGCTTCCGCTGCTTCGCAAGTGCATGCGAGTTGGAGTTCCTTGTTCTTGTTCTTGTTCTTGTTCTTGTTCTTCTTCGTAGTAATCCTCCTCATATTTCGAATTATCTTTCACTTCCCCCTCGTTTCCGGGTATGTCGACATCCGAGGAAAACGATAATTCGTCGCCGTCGTAGTCGCGTAGTTTTTTAATGGTCGGTATGACCGGCGGCATGGCCGCGTCCATTGGTTCGATGAAAGTCACGTTTCTCGATGGAACGATGCGCTTGGTATGCGGATTATAAATCCGATAAGCGTTGCTGTTGGGGCTGTACCCAACCAGTATTCCGGGCCAAGCTCGATTGGCAAGCTTAGACTTGTACGTTTCGACGTGTACGAACGCTGACGATCCGATAACCCGTAGATGTCGTAGCGAAGCTTGTTTCCCAAACATCCGGTAGTAAGGCGTCTCGTTGTTCAGATGCACATGCGGCAGTCGATTCGTGATGTGTACCGCCGTGCAGCACAACTCGCCCCATAGATACTCCGGTAGTTGTCCGCCATGCAGTAAACATCGAACGATGTTCATTAGCGTCCGTCCAGCACGCTCGCTTATCCCATTTTGTTGCGGTGTTGCCGGTGCCGTAAATTCTTGGACAATGCCGATGGTTTTGCAGAACTTCGTGTAGTATTCAGCTGTGTACTCTCCTCCACAGTCACTCCGAAGCCGCTCCAACCGAAAACCATTCGGTATGACGATGTCGTCAATAAATCTTTCCAGCGTGTCGATAGCTTCGTCCTTGGTCCGTATCAGGTACACCACATTCATTCTGGAATATTCATCCGTGAATTTGCTGACATAGTTGAATCCGCCCTTTGCAGGTGGCGAAATTGGTCCCAGCAGATCCGTGTACACTCGTTGACATGGTTGAACGGCTGTATGCTTCGCCGTTTTGGGGTGCTTCCTTTGGGTGCTCTTCTGAAGTTTGCAGGTCTCGCACGGGTCCAAGTTGTCCGTGAGCTTAACTCCAGTTTCTTTAATGCGCGCTGCTGCCTCAATGATGCCCTTGTGGCAATGCGCCAAACGCCGATGCCAAAGGTTGTAGGGCTCCGCGCGTGGAGCAGCAACATATGAATTTTCGTACGTGTTCATATTTTCCTCAGTGATCCTCCGTCTCCGTTCACACTGGTTTGTGTCGAGTCGCACATCCAGGAAATACAGCGTCCCCACTTCTCGTAACACCAGGGCGATTGTTGATCCATCTCTCGAAGTAGCCGGCAACTCGATTCGAGGTTGATCGGACATGATCGTATTCGCACCTTTCTTCTGAGCTGTTCCAGTAGAGAACAGGTGCCGCCCTAGCCCTGGAACCACTGTGCACTTGAACCGCACTCTCCTGTCGTTTCCTTCTTCATCCTTGGCGAAAACGCTGATGATGCCTTTGCTGGTCCCTTCAAGCTCAATTCCTCCAGCACCAATAATCTTCGTAGGCGTAGTGATGTACGTGAAGTCATCCAAAATGTTTTCCAGATCTGGTAACAGCTCGCTGTCCAAGTAGTGGCCCGATGCTCCACTATCCACCAGTAAATTAAATTTTCCTTGATCGAATTCCACATAAGCAGCTCGGTGTGCTGCCATCTCCATGCTGCTGACGCATGGGTATCCAAGGTTCCCATTATAACCTTCAACCACTGTCTCTTCAGTTGGTTGCGACGTAGTCCGGACATTCCGGTTATGAGCAGACCCCCTCGTCTCCTCATGAGCTGTTGTAGCTCTGTTGATAGTCCGATGATCACCGTTGTACATCCTTGGATTAAAGGTCCAAGTACCATCCCTGTCTCGGTCTTGGTGGCGAACAGTGTTGGCCTGTCTCGTTCCTTGTGTTTCTGCCATCATCGGTCCTCCTCGTCCTGTTGATGCATGTCGTGTGCCCATACCATCTTGTTGTTGGGCACGACACTCTGAATCGTCATGCAGATGGGTGTTGTGCAACGAACACCACTTCCGTTGCCTTTGTTGTTGCTGCCGTTGCGGAGGACGGTCTCTCACTTGTCGTACAGGTCGGCTGGATCTCGATCGCTGCTGATAACCGTTGTTGTATCCTCGAAACCTACTGTTGTTCCGCGATCGCTGTTGAACATAAGATCCATTTCTCCTGTTTCCGCCGCTGCTGCTGTAGTTCCGCGTAGTAGGAGGTCGGCCACTCCCTGAATACAGCTCCGGGCAGTCCCGTTGAACATGCCCCAAACGGTGGCAGTTGTAGCATTCCACCGCATCTCTGTTGTATGGAGGCGCCGAATAGCCGCCATCTCGGCGTCTTGACTGACGGGGTGTTTCTGTTATGGCTGAATACCCCGCGTCACGAGCAGAACTCCTCCTATCCTTGAATGACGTGATGGCGCCATCTTTGCGGTTTCTGTTGTACCACATGTTCCGCGCCGTTTGAGTGATGTCTGCCAGATCGTTGTACTCATTCCTCGAACTAGCATGGTACCTGATCAGGTGGTACTCTGCTGGCAGTCCTTGCAGTATGATGTCCCCAAGTTTCTCATCGGTGACTGTTCCTCCGATGAAGCGAAGTTGCTCCGCGAGATGCCAGACATGGGTGATGAAGATGTCCGGATCAGTACCAGTTCGCATGGTAGCTGATTCCAATTCTCGTTCCAGGTTTCTCCGCCGGTGTTCATCGGCAGGCTGAAATTTAGATTCCAGCTCCTTCCAAACAGCTAGTCCGCTTCCACTCGATTCATCCACAGGCGCGTGTCGCCGTAACACATATTTAGCTGGCCCGATCAATATGTGGTAGAGAATGTTGAAGAGTTGAGAATCGGCTTCCTCAAATTCGTCCAGCTCGTGCTGGTTCACGATAGAACGTGAACGTCCGATGGATGATGACCGTGGCGCTGATGGTCTCCTTCGTGATTCCTGTTGACCTTGCGAAGAACGCTTCCGTGGTAGTTGCTCCTTGTGCAGACGAACGATGGTCTCAGCTTGATCAGCGAGTAGTTCAGCAGTATCCGATGCGTCTTTCATGGCTCGTGTGATGGTCTTCTGTTCTTCGTCGGCATCAGTAAGCACTTTGCGGGCAAGTGCTGCCTTTTCTCGAGCTTCCACAGATGCTGACTCCGCTGAACGTAGCTGCTGTAGAGCTTCTTGGTACGCAGCGTCTTTGTCATCACGGTTTCCAGTGTCTTCGTCATCTTCATGTTCTTGGTCTCCACCATCTTGATCTCCATCGTCATCTTGGTCGTGTAGTTCATAGATAGGAGTAGGGCTCCAGTTCTCCCCTAGTAGTTTGTTGATGTTGGGCCGATACAAGGCCAGAGTCCTCCTTGTCGTGTACTTCCACTCTGGATACTCCGTATCCCTGCCGCTGAACTTATGTAGGCTCTTCAGCAGTTGGAAGTGTTTGCTGTCTTGGGCCATGGTCGATCCTTGTTGTGGTACTGGTGCCAGGTGCTGATGATGCCGAGGCTCTCCTTCCAGTAATTTCTCCTTTTCCAATTCACTTGAATTGTTCCTCCGTAAAATCCCTTGCTCAAAAGTTGAGGCTCCTTGCTCAGATGTTGAGGCTTCCTTTTCCAGAACTGTACTCTTCGTTGTAATGTCGACTTGAATTGCTGATGCAGGGGGCCAAACCTGGCACAATTCTTGTTTCCGCGCGACCTCCGGTGCTCAGAGTGGCGTACTTGTCGTCGTTCGAGCTCGATGCGTATTCCAGCGACACCCTATTTGTCGAAGTGCTGTCCAAGTTACCAGCTTCCTTCAGGGTTCGGGGAAAAAATTCCTTTCGAACAGCTCTCTCGATATGTTTCCAGCGACACCCTATTTGTCGAAGTGCTGTCCACGTTACCAGCTTGCCTTCAGGGTTCGGGGAAAATTCTTTTGACGTCGAACTGCTCCTTTCCTCTCTCGAACAGTTCTTGTCATCCAGCGCAATCCTATTGTGAAGTGCTGCACAAGTTACCAGCTCTCTTCAGAATTCGCGGAAATGTCGTACAGTCCCTTCTTTCCCGCGCAACCCTTTTGTGAAGCGCTGGCCAATCCACCAGCTTAAACTTCAGGGTTCGGGGGAAAATTCCAACTGCAGCTTTCCGTGTCAGACTAGTGCGTAGTGTGACTGCTGAGTTCTTCGGCTTCACGGCTTACTTTCTGAGATGCGTATGTGTGCCGGCAACCCACTCGGTGAGACCTTGATGGTTGATGATAAGACGTATCTCGAGTCTTGGCTGAATTTCCTTCTGCTGCTGATGTTGCAGCTCCTCCTTCCTTTGTAGATGCAGTGACTCCTGCTCCTGCTGCTCTCGATGAAGGAAATTAGTTGTCCAGCTCCTAGCTCCGTATTAATGTAGGGTGGTCCGCAGCCGCGCTGTCTACTCTGTCAGGACGTAGACCCGCGCCGATTGGAGATCTTCTTCTACCGGTGGGGTTCTCGCGTGGTTGTGACGGGATCAGCGTCACCAATTCCACCGAGACGTCGTGTGAATTTAGCCGGATCAGGACTCAAATTTCACCGACCGCAGTTCTCGATTACACGGGTTGGGAATCGCGCTCGCTCCACCCCCGCCGCTTTACTGCCCGTAGGGATTACCGCTCACCCGAGTGTATAGTGTACAGTCTATAGACTCGGTTTGGTGGCGTACCTGCCTGCCGCGTGACCTTATCTCGGCGCAACAATTTAAATTTTGTCAGCGGAGAGGTTGCCACTACACAGAGCCGATACTCACGGCAGGACTTTCCTGACGTCCGTCGTGTACGGGGTGAAATGATCACGCTCCCGCTGGCCTACGACTTACCGGTCACGGGGTGAGTGCGCACTCAAATGCCCGTCCGGTGCCCGCTGCTTCAGGTCTTCGTCAAGCGTGAACACAGTTGTTAGACTTGTATTCCGCCGAGCAGTCTCCAGCCCACTCCCGGGGGTGCTTGTTCAGCGCAGCAGGTTAATTACTCCTGCTGACACTGGCCGTACTATCTTCTCTCCTCTGCTGCTGTTGTCGGCGGTCTTCAGTGTCCTCGCTGTTCTGCTGATCTCGCGATGATGAAGGTCTTGTTCTGCCGAGGCCTCGTTGAGTCTTCAGACACCAGTTAGCGTGCCATCCATGTAGAAATGTGTCGTGTCGAGGTGCCCTGTACCCAGGGTCGTGTCTGCAGGCGGTTAAGCCTTCGTGCAGTCTGCAGGCTATGAAGCCTTTGTGCAGTTCCAGACAGTTGTCTGTGCAATGTGCAGACCGCAGTCTGTTGAGGCAATGACCGTAGTCGATGTTGTTGCTAAGTGCCGCTTCTGGGACTTGTACTTTCTTCTTCTTTAGCAAGCTTGCAGAGTTGAGATGTTGAGGGATAGTTGGGAGTGAGCCCGATGGGGCTCGCAACACCTCGTGATCTCGCTACAATACAATCCTCTGCTCAACCATCAATTTATTTCATGAGCTCCTCGCTAGAACTCGTCGCTACATGTTACGTTCTACCAAACGTCACTCATTATACCGCATCTACGTACCATTGCGTGCAGCAATCATACAGCTGCATCTATGCTACTACACAAATCCTACAGCAGTAATGCGCTGTATTTCAACAGTTGTGAGCCCCTCTCTAGACCATCAGCTCAGAAGACCACCACCAGTAGAAGGCGCTCTTTCGTTTGTTATAGAAGGTACTGGGTGGAGAGGTCGGAATGTTGAAACGGATTTTTTCTGTAATGTGAAGACAACAACAACCCATGGCGCATGGTGCCCATGGATGCAGAAAAGTAGCGCATGGACAATAGTAGAAGAAAAACGTGGAGAACTTTGGAAAACGAGCGAGTTTTTTTCGGGCAAAAGAAAGGATGATCTCAGCCATGATGATGCTGGCCCAAGCCTTCGACTTTTTGTTGGGCGCGGCATATGGATTTTCGAAGTTGCTGCAGCAATACTGCAATAACCCATCTCTTCCGTGGACGTCCATGGACGTGTCCGTGGACATTCACTGCAGGTAACAACGGGCGCCTTTCCGGTGTCCACGCCCTTGGTATTGTCAAATAATGGAAATCATTGAACGTCCCTCAAGTTTTTCAACCAAACCCTGCCTTGACGCGCGAAATCTGAAATATTCCCTCACCCTGCAGGTCGGGGCCTTTGCGTGACGAAGTTGTCGAGTATAAACCGGTTCGTTTTAACCACGAACTTCATGGTACACAAAGAAGTTATCTTTTCAGAGACTCTACTGACGAAGAATGCAACGTTCAAATGATAAGCGATGATCAACGGTAATTGCCACTTCACATGGGGTGTGAGTGGGGGGGTGCCAATGCTGTTCGAGCCTCACAGTTCATGTCTACGTAGAGTCTGCGTAGACCACCGTCCACCAACGAGGACGGTCACGTCAGGACTTCGTCAGAGGTGCGGACCTACAACTATAATGGAGGGAGGGGGGGGTGGGTGCCCGCTGGAAGCACTTTGTGTTTGTGTAGGGGATAAACAACGGGCGGGCATCTTGGAAGGGCCTTCCATGATGGTAGGCAAGCCGTACATCTCGTGTCTGCAGTAACTCCATGAGAGGAGAATGAGTCTGAATACATACATGTACACCGGAACCTTTTATCGGATAAAGGCTGACCACCGAATTATCGATCACCTTTGCCCTACACTACAATGGAACGATGTCCAGGATACGATAGTATGTGGGCATGCTCCCGTGTTGTAGCTCTCCTTCTGCGTAAGTTCAGCAGGAGGTGCAGTTCTTTTTTGGGCCAAATCGGAATCACGCTACCTTGAGAATTCCAGCACATTTCGAGGAAATCTTGCAGGGCGTTTTGGCCAAGAATACGGCGGGAAGTGTTCAGCCATGTGCCACTGCAGGGTTTAGCACCAATGCCGCCGGTTGGAAATAGAAGGGGTTTGACAGGTAAAGTAATTCTTCGTGGGCGGTTCATCGTGTGGAAACTCACTACCTACAGAGGCGTGGCCAACTGTTGCGTTGACCAGTGGAACAGACAGCGGACGTCGTGATGTCTGATCAGTACTTGTACATAGTGAAACGCATGGATATGAGATATGTTGCCCTCTTTCGGCAACCAGCGTACGGGCGATCTACTTTTACGGCTAACATGTGTGTCATTCTGGCATTGTGTGTTGAAGGAAGTATGTATGTAGTTGAGGATCACACCTGCACGTCTTATCACGAAGGACGCCTCTGTCATGAGCGTTCTACTCCCTGGAAGTGACTTTTGACGGAGTGAAAGTCATAACTCATTCTGCGTCGATCATTACCGAGGCATGAAGGAGTAATGACGGACTTGCACGTCCGACAAGGAAATAGCTCTGTCGCAATGGGACATGCATGACCCGGCCATGGCCCGGCCATGACAAAAAACCCGACTCCGCAATGTAAAAAACCCCAGTCACGGCGGAGGTGCGAATTCATCCACTGTACTGTATGCATGCATTTTCGTCCGCCCTCCTCGTGGATCCGGTCGATTGTTGTTGTTGCTGTTGTTGGTTTCACTGTACAAACCGTTCCGCTCGTTGCTCACAACCTTCTACCATCCGTACCGGTCTCACTGACGCGGAAGCCTTCCGTGGTCCCGGACCAATTACCCAACAATAGTACACACTTCTATAACATCAGAGGGAAAACATTAAGGGACTCGGAAAATCATGAATCGCGACGATTCCAGATCACAAGCAAGGAAACCAGATACATAAATAGGCACAGGAAGATCCCACATCCACCGTTGATGAAGTGTGGATAATGGTCGATACTTTACTCAAGAGCGATTGAATAACCCCAAGCGCGTGGATGGGGATGGTTCCCCGACGACGTGGCCCGTCCCACCCGATGAACATCTCATGGCTCCGGGGTGTCCTTGTAGTCCGGAGCGGAGCCCGGAATTTTGGTCGGGACGAAAGTTTCTTTGGAGGCCTTGAGCACCGCCTTCTTTGCCGTCTCGATCTCGTCTTTCTGCGTCTTCGCTGCCTTCTCGTCGACGGGAGCAACCTTGAGGGAATCGAACGGCAACAGCGTCATCGTGATCCAGGGGAGAAGATCGTCATCAAGCAAGACGGAAGAAAAACCACAGCACGGCACTGGCGAGTAGGGGGGAGCTTGAGTACGTCGTTCTGACTCTATCGCACGCACCGTGTGTACCTTATTTTCGGCAGCCATAGCGCTGTCGATTGCGCTAGAAATAGAACCAACAAACATTCCCGGTCTATGGGGCGATTGCCGTTCACACATGGTTTGAAACCCACCTTCTGCACGGCGTCCACCGCCAAGCTTTTGGCCTTGTCCAGAAGCGGCACCCTCTCGTCGATGACGGTTTGCTTGAAGAGTCGGATGTACTCTCCGGCCCCGTGGTCGTTGGCGCCGTCGACCAAGGAGAACCTCAAAAGCGCGCTGAACCGGCCGAGAATGCGGTCCAACAGCGTGCTCGTCGAGAGGCCGCCGCTGTACCGGACGCAGCGTCAGGAAATTCAGACAGGCTAAAGGGGCTGGAAGAATTAAGGCCGTCGCCTCTTGGGATGGCGGGGCCACCACCGACATTCTATGCCCCTAGGGTGGACGATTTCGTCTGGGGGCTATATGTACGAGATAAAAATCTGTGCCATGTAGTGGGGGCATAACAAGACTTTATTAACCATGAACAATGGAAAATATATTTTCAGGACGTTGGTTGAATCAATATAGGCACGACTTCAAGCATCTCCACCCTATCGATCGAATGAACATCGAGCTGGCGTGACGTTCGGGGGCAGCCTCGAGCAGTCCTTGCGCACGGACACATGATGGAGTGAGATTACTACAGGCGTAGGAAACATTTGAAAAGAGCCAACTATCGTAAAATGTGAAGCTATTTAGAACACAGCTACACTAGTACATACGCATCACGGAAGTATTCTTCATGTGCAGGCCTCGACAGGGGCCACCCCGTATCAAAGGCGCGCCAACATTCAAGAGTAGATGCCCTTAACACCCTTCCCATTCGCGACGGTGTCAACATGAAACAAGAGCATCAATATCAGCCTAACACAACTTCGTCGAGGGGGAACGACCAGAAAAATTCTCACAATCGGTCGAAGTAGATCTCCGTTCCGACGTGCTTGTAAGGACGAAGAGGGCCGCGCGTGACCAGATCGTTGTTGTTCCTGCAGCGGAAGTACTTGTCCTTCATTCGCGTGCCGTCGTTCATCTTGGCGTTGAAGCGGTCGGCCATGTTTTCACCGAACACCCTTCTCGAGAAGAACAACAAACAACGAGGTCCACATGCGCACGGCGGCATCAAAATTCGGGAAATGTGCGAAGTGTTAACAAGAATTGTCATAAGCTCACAACCCATCAAGCCCCGGCAATTTCACCCACTCCCGTTGCGAGTGTTTCCTCTATAGCCCCAAACTGTAGAGGGATAATGCTGATATTTTCACGAAAAGCAGGAGTGCTCATGAAAACCACCCTCGCAACGTCCTCATTGCGATGCCACTGGTTCAGAGGGCGTACCGAAGACTGAGTCTAGACCTGAACTAGAGGGCCGCGGATGCCAAGCTCTCCGGCAAGTCCATGCTGTCGCCCACAGACGCTACGCTATGTATGAGGACAAAACACGCCTTATTCAAGGGAGATCAGCTTGAAGAAAAGCGGCCCCACCAACCCTTGCGCGCACCTCTTTTCGCACTTCGTGGCCCCTTCTCACCTGGGGCTCCCGATGGTGTATATCCCAGATATCTTCACGTCGTCCATGAACGCCAGGCGGGCAGCCGCGACGGTGGCCAGGGCGCCTCCCAGAGAGTGTCCGGCGAGGTACAGCTTGCGGTGCTTGCCTTCCTCTTTGCATAGGGTCTTTATGATGTTGCGCATGCCCGAGGGGTGAGCGGAGCCCGGGTTCCATACTGTCTCCACCGCATCGTCGAAGCCCTGTCCGCTCAGAGGGTGGGTGACATAGGTTGAGGCGATAGTGCGAAATCTTGCCGTTTTTGGGCAGTTTTCTTTGCGTACTAGCTCTCAGCGTCTACTTTGTGGGTGCGTCTGCTTTGTGGGATGTACGCATCGCAAGGACGTGACATATGCGAGTTTCGCAGTAAGATGGACTCGGCGCAACGGGTGAATTCCGTAGACCCAGCCGGGGGCGAATCCAACATCAGACCATGAAACGGAAAGAAAATGAACTACGGAAATACCCACAGGTTGAAGTGCACACTTCGAATAGTACAGGTAGTGGGCCCTCGAAAACACCGGTACGTGCCCGGCGAATCGACCGGTGCCCTTCAGAGGGACCGGCGCTGTTCCAATGTACAGACTGAGTTGGTCATTTCAGTCTGTGCCCCGCAATTTTCCCCGGCGGTAAACAGGGCCACCGGCATTATTCAACCCGTTATTGAGGGTTCACCACTGTTTGGATATATGCATACCTTACCTCACTGTTGTACCCTTAGAAATAGTGCAACTTTTGGAAACAGCACAGTAGTAGCACTGCTGCTACAGAAGTATCACCTGGTGCACGTCGCAGCCGAGACCGTCCAGGAGCCAGTCGCTCGGGACGAGTCGGCGGACCAGGTTGAAGTTCGTCGTCCAGTCCGTGAGTTCGCTCGAGCCGCGGAACACCACAAGGATGACGTCATCGTTTGCCGCCACGAACGCCTCCGTGTCTTGGATGCGGTCCCAAATCGATGCTCCCGACACCGCCGGGTCCGCCTTCCCTTGCGCCAGCGGACGCATTTACGAGTCACGTTAAGAAGTCACGCGAGATGTCGGCGAATCGTGCCAAGACCTTATTGACTCAGTATTCGAAAGAAGGTTGCCAATGGAGGCTGTCGACGGATCCGTTATTGTCAAGAGCTCGAGAATCAAACACGGATCTCCTCCTCCAACAGGTTTGCATCGTGCATTAAAAAAGAGAGAAGTTCACAATCTGAGCGCTATTTCTTAGTGTGGGCGTGAGATTCCGAGATACACTCTTGAACTCGTATTCTACGGATACACTTACCGCATAGTGGCAACGCGGAAAACAAGCAAGCGTGTTCGCGTTCTGCGAGCTCGAAATTTATCTTGCTGGGGTGCGGAAAATTTACAGGATATCTTCGTGGCGTCAATTTCGTCTGTCGAGGTACTGCTGTTGCATCAGTTGATGACTTTCTGGTGCGCCCGGCCGATTCCAAGTGTGCAGAAAAATGGTAAATGTGCACAACTCTACGCAGAGTAGATGAGACCATCACCCGTTCCATAGACATGCACGCGCACGCCTTGCTCTGTCAAAAAGCATGCCCCCAAAACAAGCCCAACGGTTCCCGAGCGGCCAAACCAAAACACACCGCGTTGCCTCCAACGCCCCTTCTTACCTCGAACCAGTGGAAATGCTCGTACCCCAAGCCGTCCTTGCCCTGCATTGCACTCTCGACCTCGATCCGGGGAGAGTACACAAGCTTGCTCATCTTGGAGAAAAAAAAGCCATTTTGAGCCGAGAACGACGTGGCCTTGACGTCCGGCTTAAGCTCCACCTTTGTTGGGTGTTAAAGGCAGCAGTTTCAGACACGCCGACAGAGTGTTCGAATGCAAGAATAGATGTGCCGTGGATCTAAAGGTAGCTGTGAGTAAGTACCATAATCACGTGCAAATACACATTCAAAAGCCCGCATCTCCTCACCACGGTGTTCGGCCTCTCCAAGATTTCGAATTCGCCTTTCTGACTGTTGTTGTGCCACCCTCGATAATATTGTGTTGTTGGTTTCAAGTCATGCCACAAAGTAAGAATAGCTAACATTGCTCCGGTGCGTCTGTTGGTTTCGAACATAGTGTTCATGCGACAGTTCCAATACACGGAGGTCTTGCAATCGTCAGCGAGCCAAGGAGAGGACAGGTCGACAGTTGGTGGTACGTAAGCAAGGTTGGCTCGATACGACCCAGCAAAAGTTCATATACACCACTGCCTGAGGCTCAACCCCTGCGCCTTCCAAACGGGGAATGTTTCCCGCCTCCAACGAATACCTCCAACGACTCTCATGAATGTACAGTAGCAGCATGCCGATTATCCGCGAGTCCGAATCGTTGTCAACTGTACACTATCTCAATTTCATTTGTCTCCGCACGGACAAATGATGCTTACCTCGGAAACGGGGGCCGAAGGGGCAAATGATGAAATCGTGACGTCGTTCCGAACCGGAGAGTTGACGGTACTGAGTCCAGATGTGGGTGTTCCCGGCAGCACACCAGGACGAAACGACAAGCGTCCAAAAGCATAGCGTTACGGGATTACCGAGTTAGATGTCATGGGATAAATGGTGCTTCGGACCGAGAGCGCGGTGTGATGTTCCTCCAAAGGTGTTCGGGACGATGCCGCATCAGAGGTCGTGCGGCCCAAGCCTCGTTGGACCGAACACTAGTCCACAAAACGGAAAATTGTACGCATCCCGAGGCCCGCTCTCTCTCGCAGGTGATGCTTCAAAGGTTGCCGGTGTGCGGCGGGGCAGCCGACAGACCGATCGATGCACCCCAGGAACCACCCCAAAGCACGCCTCAACACAACCACCCCGGTTCACGCCCCAAGGCGATACATACGTCAACAAACTGTCGAGCTTCGCTGGAGGGGATTCTGGAAGGCAAAATCTGTATGGGCTCTCGCTGTATCGCAATTGTGTCCTCATCGGGGTCGAGGCAATCATCATCGCTGTCGAGGTCGACAAGGGATAATAGGCCATTTCTTCTTCCCGCTTCAAATCCTTGCATTTCGTATCGTCTGGGAGGTCGGTATTGTGCGATTTCTTACGCATTTATTCCTTACTTGCCATCCATCCATCTCTCCGCTTTACCAAAATGACACTGTCCTGTGCGCTCTTGACGGATCAGTCGTGTGGCGGTCTGTGATTCCTGTAGAACCATGGCATTATTTCTTTAGTTGTATTGTTCTTTCAAACACTGTAATTTCCACCAGATAGGAGTCCCGGTAGTTACCCATCAGCGATGATAATTCAAAGCAGTGTTTCTATTTTCGAGTTGTATCGTGTACTGGCTCTATTCAATGGCAGTATTGGATTGGATGAGGCCTCCTGCGCCGGACTGTGATCCCGCCCTCCTGTACAAGATAGTTTGCATTCGTTCGCTCAGAATAGAAAGCACACATAACCTCACAGAAACATGACCCGTTCGAGATATAACCACAACGTGGTTTCGCCGCCGATCCCTTCGTTCCGCGCGTGCATGCGGCAAATTCTTTTCGGAACAGGTGCAGAATATTACGGCAATACAGAGTCGGCGTGTACTGCTGTAGCTTTTCCCGAAAACCATCAGCTTTGATACCCATGATCCACGCTACTGCTAGGTACAGAGTGTAGCGAACTTACAAGGCGAGCGTCGTGGCGCTTGCTGAAGCTATCGCCAAGGTCCACGCTCCCGTCAGCCTACCGACATTCCTCCCGCCTCGCAAGCAAGCCCAATGCATTTGTTGGAGAACAGACTCTCCGCGCCCTCTTGACCTTGGAAACGGCCGTCGAAGATGCAGCTGCCCAGTCTGCACGCAACACGTTGTTGTCCAAGGTGGTGTGATCCAGCTAGTGTGAGGGAGACATGTACACACACCAAACGCGACAGCATCCCTACCCTAAGCTGAAACTCACGCCGACACTCTTGGTCACCTACCCTGCAGATGAGGTGAGCGTCCAGCCTTGCTCAACCAAGGGCTAGGGAGGCGCGGGCAAGGGTGACGTTGGTTTAGTTGTCGCTTTGACCAAAAGAGACTTACCAGTTGTTCTCAGCGCAAGTAGATATGCACGTGCACGGACGGCTGCTTCGCGCCTGCTGCTGCCACACTGCTGCTGCTGCTGCTACCGTGTCGATCTCCCCGTGCCACAGCGTACAGGCGGCTTCTCAGGGGGGGAGTGAGGGGTTTGCACTGTTTGTGCACAGCAGCAGTGGGGCGGTTCGTTCAGGAAGGAACGGACCACGTCGCCTTCCGCGTCCTGAACCACTCCGGGGCCAAGCTACTTGGCCTATAGAAACTAATGGGAAACTTCGTGGGTGGGCGCCTGTGCCGCAATTTGCAAGTTCAGGAGGAGGTGGCTGTTCCATGGATTTGTTCCAAGACCAACCTAGCCCTATTGTTGGTGGGGTAATGAAAGTCGTTCTAGGGGCTGTACGATGAGTGGTACTCCTACCGCCACCCCAAGGCGTGCACCGGGTGAATGCTTCTTGTCATGCAAAATAATTTTTCGGCGGAGTGTGATCCCAGTAGTCGTGTGTCTGCTGTGCGTTGTCTTCACGCCATGGTTGGGGGCATACACCGCACTGCTCTCACATTGTTGTGTTGGGCAAGGTAGACTACTTTCCTCCGTCATTTACGTTGTTGCTCAGGCTGTCGGAGGCAATGCAATTGTCTCTGACGAAATTGAGAGCCCAACCTGTCGGCTGCACCGTTATCCCGAGAGTCCTGCTGAGAAAAAACTGGCTCTTCATAGAAAATTTTGACTTGTTTCCTGGTGGTTGGTTTGTTTGCCGTCTGCGGCAGTTCTGTACCCCGACATCAACCATTCTACACCCCACACAGCGAGCGCGCGTTTCACATACGCAAAGCAAAGGCGAGGTCCTGCAAAGGTAACCTGCAAAGGTAGCCTGCAAAAGAAGAAGCAACGCCACAAAGCGGGCAGCAGATTGAAAGGAGAACACGCGCTGGCGACAGCCATGGCTGCAAGGTAAAGAAGAGGGTGTATCAGAAAAATGTCTGCTGTTTCCCGGCAAGTACGAAGGTCCAGCGGGTACACACCTGGCCTGGCAGGCCTACTGCTGTTCCCCTTTGCGAAAACGCGCACAGAAGCATGTCTCCTCTGTGGTATGTCTCCTCTGCGTTTGGGGCCGTCTTGCCGAGGTTAACATGGCCCCAAAATCTCGAGTCCGCAATGCATAGTCTACACATTCCGCAGGTGAATCGCGTACGCATCTGCAAGCCTACATACCGCTCATTCTTGTCAGGATGGTGGTTCTTCGGCGTACTGCCGTCGCTCGATGTAGACTTTGTACGGCAAGAGACACGTTTCCCTCTCGCATTGTGTTTCTCGGTCTGCCTGCTGATACCTGGCAGTGCTCGGAGCGCAGAGGACGTCCCCATTGTCCCCGTCTACTCAGCGGGGGACGCAGAGGAGGAGGTGAGCAAGAATGCTCCCCGGTTTGCACGAATTTCTTTCACAACAGCAGTCGAACGCGGTTTTGACGTCTGTCTTTTGGATGTCATGCATCAACCCATGCTTTCGGATACATAGTCTAGGGTTGTCTCCCGGGGGTGGTTTTAGGACCAAGCCTCTTCGTGTTTCGCATTTCAGTTACACCTGGTTGTGTGAGTGTCCATCTCCCTAGTTCTTGAGTTCGCCATTCAATGTTTACGTTCAGTCGGGCATGAGCTCCGTCTCCTGTTGAGACAACTGTCCATCGACGCCGCCAGTAGCAGTGGATAGACTAGTTGGCCAATGTTAATAGGTTCGGTTCATCGGTCTCGTAAATTGCAGCACTCACGTGTATGAACTCGATTCCTTGCACGTTCTCCGAAGGTGGAGTTCAAGCTGGACAACGATGCCACGGCTTTCTCGGAGCAGAACGCTTACTTCCTCGCCAGGATGTCCGACCTCTGCTACCAATCAAAGGACGAGGTTCGGAGCGCCTTGGAGACCCTTTCCTTCTGGGGGAAGGGCGCCGCAGCCGGTGACAACTTTCAGTGGTTTGAGGTGAATATCGCCTCTCTTCTCGAGTGTTTTTGCACCGTAACAGGCACCCCCTCTACACCGACTTTCAAAACTCAATTGATTGCTCCACAGCCATTAGGGTGCGGAAAGAACCCGGAATGTCCACGGAAAGGCCTTGACGAGATGCCTACAAAGCCGCCAGCGGTAGTGTTGGCACAATCTTGGCTATGGCGCAGTCGAGCTCTGAAAATCGGTCTGGGAGGCTGCAGTCTCTCTTCCTCTTTCGTCATCACGAGGCCCATCCCCTCTGTGACGAGCGTTCGACAGGCCACCTCCGTGTGAAATGCTTGGCTTGTCATCGGCATCATTGAGGTGCTCAGTCAAGACGCCTACTCTAATGTCTTTTATTGTCGCGTGGGGGTAGCCAAAATCATTATCGAGCCTCGGCCTTATTATAACGTTCTGAAGTGGTGGCGCGTTCCGCACTTGTTTTTTCTCTTGCCATTAAATTGGTGTCATCCATCCAGGCTAACGATGAAGTCGTCGATAGAAGTTCGTTTGATCCCATCCACGACACCGAGGCCTTCGTTGCGGCCAACGACGGAGCGATAGTGGTGGCGTTCCGCGGCAGCAGCGGGGGAAGGGACTGGCTGACCAACTTCAGCATTCTCCCGAGGGACATCCCCAAGGATTGGAAGCTCGAGACAACCGATGGTGACCTGCACCGGGTGAGGCTTTGGCTCTCCACACGGGATATTCGGTACCGCTACAAGCTCCGCAGTTTGTTGAGGGATCGGCGCACCGCCGTATGTGGTGGTGTGAGTAGAACGTTTGAGGAACGTGGGTTCTTCGCGGTGGCCAACCCGTTCAGGGATGGTTTGTTCGAAGATGGCTGCGTGGGGTTACACGCCGAGAATGAAGACGAGGCTAGAGGTGTTTTGGTTTTGTCTATGAGTGCGTGCACAAACGTTGTTGAAGGTCTTGACTTCCGTCTAATGTGCACCACCTTGTAGCCTAGTTGTCAGGGGCAATATGAACACATCGTTCCGAACAAACTTCCACCCCCCCCCCGCCCCCCCTCCGGTTACTTAGTCGACCGAGAACATCAGGTGGAAGGTAGAACTCCTTCAAACATACGTGCACCACCATATCGTGGCAAATTGGGGTCGACGTGGATCGTTCCGTCCATACAAGCCGGTATTCTCGTAGGACATGAGCCTTCTCGTAGGACGTCAGTCAGCCCCCCTTGAAACGCCTCGCGAACTTCTTGCTGAAACTCCAAATCTGTTTTGGTGGGCAGGGCTTTGATGATGGCGTGAACACGGTATGGAATCCCGGCCCCGGCCACCCCGAAGGCATGCTTGCCGTCATCAAGAGGTTCTACCACGAGGAGGGCAGGAGCCGCAAGCTGTACATCACGGGGCACTCTCTTGGAGGCGCCCTCGCAACGATCGCCGCGGCCCGCTTGGTGTTCGTGGACGACTTAAACGTGGCGGCGCTGTACACCATCGGTTCCCCAAGGTACGGGCTCAAGGTTTTCTGTGGACAGCGAGGACTGGCTGGCTTGAGCATCTCAAGAATGAGAGCGTTCCTGCAACAAATAGCACGGCGCACGCCGTAGGTTGCATGAGATACCGCCCACCGAGTTTCAGACCTGTGCTTCTCCGCGACGAAGAAGGCTGCCGGAATTTAGTTATACGGTTTCGGGACCCTCTCGACGAAGCGCTTTCAACGTCGATATTTCCGACACCGTCACTGTCTTTGATGCAAAGCTTCGAGGTTTAAGACTCGGTTCGGGAGGTGCAAGTATCTTGTGTAAGCTACGTAATGTTGTCCGAGCTGGTATCGTTATGCTCTTTCGAGAAGATTTTTCATGGTACTGTTGCAGATCCGCTGTCATGTTGTTGTGTTGCATGATCCTCTAAAAGTCTACGTGGTGCATCAACGACGTTAACACCACTCCAACGTGCATGCGTTGCTGCCAGTAACACCTCCAAGAGCATTGTCGCAGCCCTTTTAGGTACGTTTCAGTGCGTTTTTGCATTGCTGGGCACACGAGAAATTGAATACTTTCGTGGTGGCTGTTTTTTTCAGGAACCCAGCATTCCATATCTGAAACCGTCGTCGGCTGTCATCCCGCAAGGGGTTTCCTGAGAATTTTTCAATCACCACATCCAATTCCACCGCGCTTCGTCGGACACGTGCCACCGCGCTTCTGTTCACACTTGTGGAATTCTTTCCTTTTGAAGGGTTTTCGACTCGGAGGTGGCCGCCATTTTCGACTCCAAGACTAACCACGGCACCCGCATGAAGGACAAGTACTTCCGCTGCAGGAACAACAACGACATCGTCTCGTGCATCCCTCCTTCTCCTTACAAGCACGTCGGCACGGAGGTCTACTTCGACCGATTGTGAGGATCGGTTGGAGTGCATTTGCTCCGATTATGCTCGAATTCGGGCCTACATTTGTCGAATTTGGACCTTCAAGTGTGCTCAAGTGTACTCCGTAGTGGTTCAGAGGTCCATGCCATCACCCTCGGGACTCATCTAACAACCCAAGCGCTAACCCTGACCCTAAGTACCCCTAAACCCTAGCCCTACTCAGCAGCCCAAACCCTAGGGTAAGTAGGTCGTTTGGATCTCGGTCCGTGGTGAACTCATCGAACGCCCCGCTGCAACAACACGCCGTCGCCTGCTAAACATTTCGCAAACAGCGGTGCCATGAGCACCCACAACCTGCTTGACCGCCTCCTCGGCCGGTGGAGCGCGCTGCTGAGGTTCTCCTTCATCGACGGCGTCAACGACCACTCGCGCTCGGAGTACATCCGGCTCTTCGAGCAAGCAGTGGTTTCTTCGAGGCTGTCTCTCCTGGTTAAGACCAGGAGCGTGGTCGTCGACGCGGTGCAGAAGGTGACGACAAGCGGCAGCACCCCATATGACAAGCCAATCTCGCGTTCAGCTCCAACGGAAGTAGAATACTGCAATGAATTTTGAAGATTCGCCTAACCGTTCCGTGCTTGTGGTTGTTCGTGCCTTCTCCGATTTTTGGCGCCACCTATTACAAGAAGCTTGGCCAACCCCCACAAACATTCGACTGTGTCTCGAACGGGTATTCTTTCAGTGAAGGCATGTAGATATTGTAAGGAATCAATGGTGGGTTTGCTGACAGATTGGTTGATTCCCTCTCGTGCGGTTTCAGAATACTGTCTTGTTCTGTTCCCTGCGAACGAGCAAGGGTTCGAAACAGCAGCGTGATTGGCTCGCGGCAGTGCTTGAACCCGCTCTCGCGCTCAGGGCTCTCTTGGCCGACCAAGCGCAAGGCTCTAAAGGCAATTCGTCTCGTGCTGACAACCCTTGGTTTGCTGCCTCGAATCATCACGACGGTCCTTCGAATCATATCGCCTTCCCTTTGAAACAAAACACCCCACTTTAAGTCGAAACACGTCCCTTCGAACCACAACGCCTTTCCCTTTGGATCAAAACACCTCCCTTTCGAATCGCACCCCTTCCCTTCCAATCACCACGCTTTCCCTTTGAATCCAAACGCCTTCCCTCGAATGACACCGCTTCCCTTCTGATCACAACACCTTCCTCAACTGCCACCCCAGGTCATTCCCGTGAACCAAAAGGAAGTGAAGGTGATGCATGAAAAGGTTGAGGCCGCAAAGCAGGCGGCCTTGGAAGCATCAACCTCGGAGCAAGAGTTCGTTCCTGAGAACATTCCCGAACACCTTGTGCAACTTGAGGATTGATAACGAAGATCCTCCCACCCCAATACCCCCCGGCAGGCGAAGGGGGTGTTCACGAATGTTTCGACGTATGTATGCATATATAAGGGCTTGTGTCCCTTGCTCTATGGCTACACACTCGAGTTTTTCCGTGGTTGGCGTTCGCTCCACCCATTCAACAAGTCGGCATTTCCACGTGCCTGACGATGGATGAAATCCTACCGTTGGTCGTTGGCAAGGGAAGGATAGGTGGGTTCAGTGCAGGTATTATTGCCGGTGCCCGGTGCTTGAACAATCGATAAAGTGAACGCTACCGCTATTTGCGCAGCATCTGTAGGAGATTCGCCCTCCCGAAGAAGCTTATATGTTGGACCCACGGAAATTGGTGTAAAGGGCATGGGGAGATTGATCAGTGGAAATAGAAGCATTCGGGATGCATGTAGTGGAGTATTTGGAATCGACCTGTGCATTCCTCGTGGCTGAGATGGCTTAAGCGAAAAGGAAGGTTTCGCGTTTGCACACTGGACCTGCAATAGTTTTACCACTCTCTCGAGACTTCTCTCTGTTGCTGCTCTGTACAGAGTATGATCGATTTGTTTACTTTTCTAATAGTACCGCCGCGTTGTAAATTTGTCTCGTAGTAAGTTAAGGCTTTTGGCGTTGTGGTCAGCTATTTGGCGAGGTGTATTGGACTTCGTATCCTGCGGGACTTGAAGCTTTACAATACCTTGGAGCTCGAGAGACTTTCTATCGAGGGAAGAGGCGGTTCCCATACTTGTTCTCTGCGCGGTAAACGCAGAAATCTAACCTAGGTTGACCGTACTTGCAGTAGCTCTCTAGTGTACGGTGGCTTGCATTCACGGGCCGACTCGAGTCGCTTTGTTGCTGTCTTAGCAAGAAAGAGATCCGGTACCTTGTGCAAGTTTATCAAATCTATGGATATCCCCCAACTTCTGAAAGGGGACGTGTGGTCGTTGTTGTTTTACGTTCTTCTTGCACGCTTTCCTGTGGTGGTGAGTCAAACATTTCTATACATATTGTCTATTAGTGAAGAGAGCACTTCGCTGTTGCAAAGCCTGTCAATGGTCGATATAGTTTGTGATACGTGCAGCGTAGTAGTACCTGTGGATCGGTCGTTGGAGGCGGTATCTTGTACGGTTGCTTAGGTTCTATGTCGGATCAGGTTGCGGATGATGCCTCTGCCTTCCTCCTTGCAACCAATTGCAACCAATTCATCGCGTATCCATGTCTTCCCATAGACGAACAAAAAAGAAACTGAAGTGGAGGAGTATTATTGCGTTGGCTTGGCTTCGTGCGTGGAATGGGAGCGTGGTCTGCCAATCCCCTGTGTCCGGCATCTCCGCTGCTGCAAAGGGTCGTTGGAGGCGGTATCTTGCACGGTTGCTTAGGCTCTATATCGGATCAATTTGCAGATGATGCCTCTGCTTTCCTCCTTGCAACCAATGCATCCCGTATGCATGTCTTCCCCAAGACGAACAAAAAAGAAACTGAAGTGAAGGAGTATTATTGTGTTGACTTGGCTTCGTGCGTCGAGTGGGAGCGTTGTCTACCATTCCCCTGTGTCCGGCATCTCCGCTGCTGCGAAGTCTCACGGTTTGGAGTTAGGGTCATGGTGTTCGTTCTTATCGTGATTGCTTTGACTCTCTTTGCGTACCTGCCAGCGGCGGTGTAGCCGAATTTTTCTCCTATACGAAGATTCGAAACACCCGTGCAGTAGTATCAGCGGACCATCGTCGCTTCAGCAGCGATCACACACCACTGTATCGTAGCATCACTCATGGTTGCGTGCGACTGAGCGAAACGCTCTTGTTTGATCGAATTCCGGCCCACTTCTACGTGATGGCTGTTGTTGCTAGTGATGTCTACCAAAGCTGGGAGGAGCTATTGCGGCTCCTGGCGCTCCCTAAAAGCGACCAACAAATACCGGGAACGCCCTTGCAAGCCACTGCTTGGATGCCGCTCGCCACAACGTTGATTATTGGCCCGTTTCACGGCCAGTTCGGGCGACTGGCAACAACTTCCGACGTACGTTCACATGGGTGGATGGGGTTAGTGGGTGACCCATACTACATGTACGTTTAGCCGACGGGGAACAATTCGCGCACGCTGTTGACCTGGGTGGGCCATCATGTGTTTAGAAATCAGGCCGTGCACCCTACAGCCGCCAGCATTGCGCCGCACAACATCCACCTGCGTTAAACAGTTTCACTCCGAGGTCCCGTTCAGCAACACCTAACAGCAGTTCAGAGTTATCGCACTGGAGGTGCACGGCATACGATTGTCACTGCAGTTCGTATCATGCGTTGTGTAACGTGCGTGGGGCGTCACGTTGCCAACAAGCGAGGTCATCGGTGTCCATGCATGTCACAAGTTGAAATTTTTCTTTGGAAGGTTTGCGGCGCGCCGTGGGAATGACGGTTTCGTTGAGTTGGGTCGAAAGGGAACCAAAATAGCCCAGCCTATCAAGACGAACAGGAAAATAATTCCGAGCCCAGCCATGAGGTCACAATACCACGACCTTCCAATAGGATAAGAGGCTTACATTGTCAAGGTCGGAACGCGAGCAGAGTTTCCTGCGGTGGTCTTACAGGAACCTGCGAACGTGGACTCTGGCTAGAGGTGAGAATCACGCGCGAGAAAAGAGGTGTGAGCAAGAGTGTGTCGAAAGTTTCGCCGGATACCTGGACTATACGTAGACGAAGACTACTGGCTGGTAGACGTCGTGTCTGTAGAGCAACAGCAGCAGTAGCAGCGGGAGGCTGCAGCGGCAGTAGCAGCGGCAGCAGCGGCAGCAGCAGCGGCAGCAGCGGCAGCAGCAGCGGCAGCAGCGGCAGTAGCAGTAGTGTAGTGTCGTTGTTGTTCCGCAGCTGTCCCCGTCGTTCAGTCCTGGCCGAGGGCGTTGTGTCTAGGACTATTTTTCCCTTTCGCTTACGTATCTCCAGCACCTCAACTCTTCTTCTCGTCTGTCTGTGAGTGAAACTTCTCTAACACCTAACACACGCACCTCATGCGGACAAATCATTGAATCTCAACATATCGGCCCGCAATGCTACCAAAGACGTGTGAATCCAGCTTGAACTAATGGAGACAAGACGCACACGACGCGCGAAGTTCTACACGGACACAATAGTCGATCAACTGATGGATGCACATATCAACTCGAAGCCTGGAGCAGAAAGCGACGGCTCGATCTGCTCTTCCGAGCGCCTCACGGTGAAAAACTTCGGTCAACTCACGGGGCTCAACTGGCCAGAAGAGAGAGTGGCGAGGGAGATAGCAGGGTGAGGGTTGATACAACGTGCTCGTGCGCGTTGTTTGTCCCGAAACAATCAGCCGCCTATGACAATTGGTTTGCCTACCGTATTCGACCGTGTCGATGGTATGGTGAAATGGTGCACAATGCATAGACTATGCAGCTTTACCGAACTCTTCGCCACAACTTTTCCAATCTTAAAAATTCCTGCCAAGTTGCCGCCAACAATCAATTGTGATACTGTCGAGCCCCACAGAATCGAACCTGTTTCCAGTGTTGAGGATATTATTTACCGCGCCAACATTATTAACGACTCTGTCGAGGATATTTCCAATGCACAACTGTAGTAGACTACTCTAATGCTACCGCGGTGGTGTCAAAAAAGTGTTGCTAAACTATCCAAATGACGACCGTCAACTTTGGCGGGTATTACGGTAGATTCTTAACAACGACTTGACAAGCGGTGCTTCACGTTGGCATGTGAGTATCACCACCAAATCATTATGTTTCCCGCCACTTCCTGTTTACTCGAAAAAAACACCCGTGGTCACACACGAGATCTTCGAAGCGATCAACGATCGGTAGATCCAGCAGTCAAGGTCAACGACCTCCTCTCCAGACGAAAAAAGATATTCCGTCCTTTCGAGCACCGTTGAACGAACACCTTGAGATCTGGGTGTTTAAGGCATATATATGTATGATGTGGTCCAAATGGTCGATGGAAGCCCGAGGGTGGATGGGTTCGCTACAGTCGGTTCCATGGAAGGGATACTTTACGGAGGAGGCATTCTTCCTCAGCGGCACTCGATAATATTTCTCGGGTTATTCCGGATTCAGTTCTCGTATTCAACGTAACGTTTCGCTGCTTTTCCCGCCGTCCCAGGCTACTCGACGGGTTTACAGAACAGCAGCAAGAGCAGCTTGTCTACATGCGCAACACCGGTCGAGCCGTTGCGTGAGTGAAGTGTCCCCCTCGTGGGGCTAGCATTCTGGTGACGTGTTTTCTCTTTCGAAGACCGATGGTGGTGTCCATAGGTAGACCATAGACAGGTGATGGCCGATGTGTGGCCCAAAACTTGTCCCTACACGTAGTTCATCGACCCTTCGTTGTTTTTAGTCTCGCCGGTGTCCACAACTTCCCGACGAAGTGCACAGGTACATCCGCACAACAGCTGAGTTGTTTCCATGTGGTAGCGTGATACTTTGGCGGCGCTTAGCGTCCTACCCTCGTGGCCCTGATCGTTCACGGCGTCGATTCCGTCTGGCATGGAATCATCGATGCAAAAACACGAAATGTTTCTGGTGCTCAACGCAACGTTAGTCTAGCCGAAATTCGCAAGATGGCCATTCGTGCTGCTTCAATGAGTTGCCCCACATACCTCTGTGTGTCTGCAGGGAGACGATATCATTCACCAAAGAGTTTGATGGGAGCGGAGATCCTGAGATGTACCCCGTCAAGAACAAGCAGCAGATCGCGGCGAAGCTGCTAGACATGTTCGGCGACACCGAACTGAAGGTACGCTTTCATTGCCCGCCCCTTTTTCCCAGGCACATGTTTCTGCGATGTACCCGTCACCAAGGGGTCCAGTTGTCTATGCGAGGTGTTCTCCCAGTTGTGTTCTGGAGAGAAGCTTCTCAGACCCGTGACTCTATGGGACAGCTTGTGACAGCAGTAATCGAGGCATCCCAAGCACACACACGACTATTGGGATCAGTACGGAGAAGAAGATAGCTGCTCAAGAAACGAAGTATTTGGTAATAGTGCCAACAACGACGACAACGACGACAACGACGACGACGACAACAACAACAACAACGTTGTCTCCAAATTATGGAAAGCTTCTACTGGGTGCTTTGCCGACCGTCATCACGTCAGCCGGGATTAGGCATTTCACTACGGGATACCATGTCATTTCACAAATGTAATAGTCTACGGTAGATGCCGTGTTGGTTGAGGATTGCCCTGGGAATTTTCAGTTGATATATTCCCTTAAACCTCGCTCCTGGTCCGGCTCTTTTCCGCTCGTGGCGCTGAAATCTTTTCAAACGAACACGAAATAACTGTTGCTATCCCGCTTTCCATTCGGACACCCACGGCAGCTTGGCGAAACACCTTGTTGTTTTGTTTTTCCGACGTGTTTGCTTCTTTGTTCGGCTTCCCTGCGGTTTCCCCGCCAAACACTCGTTCAAAACTGTTGTCAGGCGATTGTCGCCCCTGGCGCCGAAGCTAGGGCGGACAGGAGGGTCGGCGACCGCTCGCCGAGAATATACAAGTATCAAGACGGCGCCGGAAGGGTCACGTTCGAACCAGAAGCACAAGCGCCCACGCCACCTGCGGCGGCTGTACCGATCGTTACTTCCAACAACAAGAACAACGATGCACTCGCTTCTGCCGGAACCCTGGATTGCGGCTTCCCCCCCGCTGCCGAACTGCGGCATCATCGGCCCACCTCTGCACTACCGGATGCGGCGTCTTCTACGGCGGCGGTTGTGGCGGCGGCAACTCGGATGAAGATTTCGGCGATTCCAGCGGCCATGTCTTTCCAGTCGCGACGTCCTGGTGCAGCTCGGGTGACTGCTGCTGCTGCTACGGCGGCTGCTACTGCGGCTGCTGCTACTTCTCCGGCTGCATCCACGGTGGGGACGGTTTCTCGTCCGACCAGTCACGATGGTGGCGGTCACGCCGAGGTACCAGCACTCCCGTCTGAAGCTCTTGCTGATGGTCGTCAGGGTACTGCCGCAACGGAAGTTACTGACTACGTTTCATGTAGTTGTGGCCGGGTTGATGTCATGGATTTACTGTCAGATTTCATTTCATCTGGTGGTGGTGGTGGTGATAGTAGTGGTGGCAGTGGCGGTGGTGGACAATCTCTTCTCCGGAAATTCTCTGCCGCCGTGCCGCCGCCGTCGTTTTCAAAGACCCGCCACTTCTTGGCGCCCCCGGCATCGAGAAGCAGATTTCTGCAGCGAGCGCCATCACCTAGTGATTGCCTTTCCCCGCCCCTTCCCTCGCCGGAAGCGGATCACTTACCCCAGCAATCGGCAATGAGTGCGAGCATCAAGACCGAGCCGTCATACAGCGGTCGAACTCACCATTCATCGGTGACACCCAGAGGATTCATTACGCCGCAGGCAACAGTACCGAGCGGTCCACCGCCGCCCAAGTCGTCGAAGTCGAATCCGCACCTGTCGGAGAGGAAGGGTGGCTACATCCCGCCGCCCCCAACCGTGCGGCCACTGGTGAGAACATCGGGAGGGATTCTCCAGCCGAACGGCCGTTTCCAAAAGAAGCTGAGGGGTCCTATGGGCGCCATCGTCGGCGTACCCGTGTGCCTAGGCATCGCCTACCATCCCTCAGCCTCGCGCGTCGAAGAAACGAACTCGGCGCCCGACCACTTCGCTTTGGGTGCCGTTAGGGGGGCCGGGTCGTTCTGTAACGCTTCGGGGACCGGTGCTTCCAATGGGAAGACGACTGCCACACAGGCGAAATCGGCGACGAGCTTTCCAAGCCCAGTCTCGGTGGAGGAGCAGACGTCGCTACGCTTGGCGTTCGGACAGTCACTGACCCAAGAGTCCTGGCTATCGGGAACCTCGACGTTGCAAGAAGTAGGGTTGAATTTCGAGTCTGACTCGTTAGCTTCGAACAGAGGCGAGAGGCAGGGTGGGGGAGTTGAACGTACAGAGGGAAACGGGTGGTAGTGAGCGAACTGTTTGAACCCTGGGTAAGCCGAGACATGACGAGTTAGTAACGTCGAGGCTGAATGAAGACCAAGAGACATCGTATGCGGTTGTCGCGTGTGCCTCTGCCGTAGCGAGCGCAGAAAAAGGGTAAGCATCTGTCTCTGGCTCAGTGGGGCCAATAATCAATGTGTGTGCCAACATCATCCAGTGCATTTGAGACAAAACGTGCAAAAGATCTCCTGCTTGCGGGGGAAAAGGCGAGTCATTGAGAGTACAACGCGAAGAGGAGGAAGAGAACGACAACCGTGTGGGGCAATCCAGTGTGTGTGTGCTGTGGGTTTTCATCCCGTTCGTTCTACGCGTGATTCTACGCTGTTCGGTCTTTGTTTGATGCACCAGCCGGGGTCAATCCACCGAGGCGGGGGAGGAAAATACAATCACAAAAATGTCCTTCGCGTTTCCATCTACCTCCTGTGGTGCGTGCTCAGTCGAACGCGGTGGGCGCGTGTATGTAGTCTTCAACTAATAGCGAAGTGACGAGCCGTAGGTGAAAGGGGCTAGGGAAGGAGTTGCGTACTGCCTTCAGGCCAGAGTTGGGCATTTTTCTGAGGTAGCAAATCTTCGCATGCGACCCTGTTGGGTGTCCAAAAAACGCCACCGGTATGCCCTGGAAGCATGGATTGGACGGGACCGAGCTTGAGCATTTTAGAGTGGACGAAGGCCGGTTAGGCTGTAGGTTTCTCCACTCAGAACAACCCAGTGTGGTTATGGCCGTGTTCGTCACGTCGCCTTTACTAGAGATTCAAGTTGGGGTGGCGTGGTCTGAAACCTCAGGCGGTTCGCACCTTCCCGCCTGCATGAGGTAGTGGCGCTCTGGGACCAACGTGCCGTGCGTTCATGTGGTGTCGGGGTCCTCACGCCACATGCGAGCTACACTCAGTGTGGCTGTTCCCCGCCGGCTGAATAGCAACGGGCAGAGGGTAGCAGACAAAGGAGCGCGCGCATCTAAGCGCGGGCTCCATCAACGGAGGCAATCTTCGTGAGTAGTTGTGAGTGCCTCCACAGTGAAACCCGCACAGCAAAATCTATGCAGCACCTTCTCTTGTTCCGCACTAGATCGATATCGCACGACCAACTCTTCTTGCCGCACGAATTCACACTTTTCCTACCTCAGGCGGCCACCTGTACGGCGTCCATCGTTACCCACATGATACGTCACATCTGGAATTCCAGACGAGAAAAACATAGAATGAACTACGGGGCGCAGCGCTTCTTCAGAACCAGAAACCAGAAACAGACATACGGATTAATGTTTGTGTTAAAGTTGAGGGTAAGCGAGCTGTGACAAAACCTGGCCAGGATGAGCGTTCGATTCATGGGCATGGTAGTTTGGATTCGAAAACGGCGAAGAGCGCATTTACAACTCAATGAAGCATGGTCAATCCTAACCTCCTCCATCACGTCACCCTCACCCTAATACCCTAAATCTGGCCCTACCAAATTCATTGGTCAGGGGAAGGGAGGCCATCCAAGGGGCCCCGCACAATGGCCAAACCCATGTACACATACGATGTTTACGATGGAGCCATGACAGAAAAACCGTTGTCGCACGATGCGAACAGGGGGTACAAGGCCTGTGCCCGTCAACGCAGGCTGAGTTGCAACGCAAAGTGGCTGCTGACCAGGTGGGTACGTCATGCCAGCTACTGATCGAGGAGCAACGCGCGTATCGCTTCCGTTTGCGAGGCAGCAAAAGGTGTCGCACAACAACACAGCTAGGCGAGAAATCACCTGCACCGCAAAGACTACACCCCGAAACTTGATACCATCTCCGGCGAAAATCCCAACTTCACAGCCTTTACGTCCTTCCACAATTTCTGTCCTGCTTGAGACACGCTAGAGCAACTCATTCGACAACTCCGGGGAGGGTTCTGAAGCAGAATATGAACTAGTCGGCCGTAAACAGGACTCCTGCGGTGTGATACTGGCTTGTGCGCACACACCCAGCAGCGTTCAGACCACCCAGACTTCCAGAATCGACGCAATCAAAAGAAAAAAAAAAAATCGACAACAAGACAAGGGTGTTGCAGAATGACCACCGCTGCACACGAGCAGAAAAGCCAATGCGCGTTGTACTGCTTGTGCTTCCAAGGTGGTACTGGATCGACAGCAGCAGTCGATCGAGGGTCAAGGACTGGAGTCGGCTTCCCTCCCCCCGGCGTCAAAAAAGCCTCCGTCGACATCACCGTGCGACAAGAAGCCCATCATGTCTGGGTCGAACTCGGCCTCCGCCCCGCTGGCTCCATAGTGTGGCAAATCTGCCGGCGACACGCCCCTGATGACAGGGCGCAACAGTAAACAGAGCATGGGCTCTTGTAGTTGTGCGAGTATACGGAAGAGTTGACGAGACAAGCCAGGGGACCATTACATGGCCAACCTGTAGACGAACGAATTCCTAGGCAAGAAAGCGGTTCGAATAACTGTACGCTGTTGAAACGAAGCAAGCAGATCGGTGCCATGCCTCTGTTGTTGCTGCCGCTGTTGTTGTTGCCGTCATGAACACTATCAAGACTTTTATTGCCTGTTGCCTGTATGACATATTCTGTGCTGAAGGTCGCAAGCTACAACCCAACGGAAGGGTACAAGCAAAGGCTAAATTACAGCAGGAAATTACCCACGACTCGAACGTAGCAACATTGCGAATGGCTCATCGCACATCAGGGCGTGTTCATAATGGGACACATGAAACGTGAGATCCATCTGCCTACCCTACCTGATTCGCGCCGCGTAGGCAGCCCTCAGGCGGCGCTGCTCGCTGCTGGTCTTGGAGGTGTTCTGGTACATCAACTCGTCCCTCGTACCGGGCGGTCTCCGAGTAGACGAGGTGACTCTGCCTGCCACAGACCTTCGAGGGGGGGGGGAGGGATACGCGGGGGGGGTGACACTGGTCTGGTAATTGTACTTATCGAGGTGGCTCGGCCCGCAGCGAAATCTTAGAGGAGGGGGGGGGGGGGGGGGGGGGG